AAAATATTTTCCAAGCCAACGAGGGAATATGTTTAAAACTGACAACTAAGATAACACTAATGATTGTACACACTTAAAAGGTCAAGGGGATAAGGGAAGTCTGTAAACAACTTCAGTCCAATAAGTTCAATAACTTTGATAATATGGACGTTCTTTCTGAAAGAAATAAACCTACAACGTTCACATAAGAAAATTTATATGCCAAAAGGCATTATACTCATCAAATAAATTAAATGAGGTAAAACCTCCCCACTAACTTTAAGCTCAAATGGTTTCATTAGTGAATTTCACCAAACAATTAAGTGAGAAATAAAACTAGTGTTACAAAAAGTCTTATAGAATATTTAAGAGGAAGAAATATTTCCCAACTCATTCTTCCAAGCGAATATTACTCAGTTTTAAAAATGAAGACAAGTGTGTGATTTTGTGGCACAGCCTGTAATCTCAGCACTTTGAGGTCGTGGCATATATGTTGCCATGAATTTGAGAACAGCCTGTGCAGTGGGTTCAAATACAGCATGAACTGCACAGCATGGTCCTGATTTTTTTAAAAAGGTCACAGAGAATTAAGCTTTAGACCGATATCCTTCTGGAAAATTGATGCAATAATTGTTAATATTTTAACAGATTGAATCTAGCAATGTGAAAAAGAATACACAATGATCAAGTGGCAATTATCCTGGCACTATAGGGGATCAGCATTTGAAAGACAATCAGAAGAGTTCCCCATACTGTGGACAATCATGGTTATTGTATCAATGTTTCTTCAGAGGCTGCACTGCAGCTGAGGGGTGAGCTAGAGAAGCAGAGCATCACATTTCTACCTTGGAAGCTCCACACAGGACTATACATACACTGCTAGCTCATCTGATTGGTTAATACACGTTAACACCATCTCTCCCGATCCCAATATAATGTTGAAAAATATATATACGTCTATGTTATTCTGATCCTCTTGAGCACAAATTAGTCCATCCTTACATATCTGTTAGTCTTACCCAGAAGGGCCGCTTGCAGCAACGCCAAGGGTACAGGACCCTGCCAAACAGTAACATTGTCTTTGTCATCACACAATACCTGCTATGTTCACAACTGAGATGAAGGGGCAATAGGACCACTGTGACCCGCTGCAAGTCTTCCCAGGATGGATGATGATGAGAGATCCCCTCATCGCATTGAAATCAAATATAAGAATCTCAGCATTTCACCCTGAGGGTGGGATCTTCTCTTGGACACTCCCACTGCTCTCTGATGGTGCACTGATTCTTCTTTCTCTACATTCTTTGACTATTGATAAATTATTTTGACCACCTGCAGTACCAGCCGTACATGCGCTGTGCGTAGAATAGTAGTTCCACAAGTCAAAGAAAGAACAGATGATTCTCTTAAGGGATGCAGAAAAAGCACTGGCAAATTTTGGTAACATTTATGATGAAAATTCATAAAATACAAAATAAAGGGGACCATCCATAACTTTTTAAAGACATCTACAAAAAAACCTAAAACCAGTATCATATTTAGTGAGAAAAGATTAAACGTTTTCTCCCTATTTTAAGGGCACACTTATGGAATTGCAGGCTTGCAGGCATATTATAGCAAAAGTTAGAAATCAGTTCATAGCCTGTGACAATGTTCATGCTCCCTGTCACGTAGCTACCCTACTAAACTCAATCAGCCTTGACTATCTGCTTCTCTTTGATAAGGCACCCAGCCAACTTGACTGTGTCTAGCTTGTGTTTTTCTTTAGTTAGAAAAATATATATTGTTTCCTACTTGCTTCAAGGCATCATGTTTGGGGAAGACTGGCCTAGTCAAGGACATTTTCAACTCTGCCTGCTCTTCTCAGACCCCCTCCCTCCCAAAATGTTATAATTCTGCCTGACAATATATGGCAAAATTCTGTATTGCAGGTAACCAATTGTGTAGTAACCTATCAGCTTTCTAATTCCCGCTTGCAAACTATATTTAAACTGCACTGAGCCCTGACTCTGGGCTGGTGGCTTGAACCTCCGGGCCCCCAGCCCACTGACATAGTGAAAGTTGCCTTCCAGCTCCTCGGTGCAGAGTCTCCCATTCGGTTTGCTATTGGCTTTCTGCAAAAAAGAAAGTAATCTGCTGTTACCACTCCTACTCAATACTGCATTGGGGATTTTGGCCAGGGGAATAAGAATACCAGTGTGGAAAGGAAGAAATAAAACTGAGCCTATCATCAACCTGATTATGTAAATAATCCTATAGGTCCTGCCAAGAGAGCTTCCAGAAATACTAAATGACTGTACTTAGGGTGTAACATACAGGACCCACCAAAAAAAATCTTCTTTATTGAACAGACTCTAAATAGGAGAAATAAGCCGAGAAGACATGCTCACTAGCCCATAGGAAGCTCTGGCTTGACCCCACCTGGCCGGCTCAGGAGCAAAGGTCATAGTCAGAGAGCAGGAGTCGCTTGGCCTTGGAGTTACCATCTCCATTTTCCTCAGGATGAGCTCTTTGGTCAAAATTTTGCTTTTATTTATTTATTTATTTATTTTTTTGGTAAAAATTTTGTATCGGCTCTCTGAGAATTTTCTGGCTTCAACAGCCCTGAAGAGAGAAAGAACTCACAGTCACCTGGAAAGCTGTGCTGATGTCACAACAAAGGCACTTGTTTCGTCCCAATGTGCCAGTCTTACGCGTGTTTCCTCCGGGTGCCATCTAATGACATCATTTGTCGGTTCTGCTGCGCCAGTCCCAGTATGCCTGTGTGTGGCCAGGGTCTTGAGCACAGTTGCTGGGTCTTGGAGGGCTGAGGGGGAGGCATCACCTCAGTCTTTGCAGATTTAGGCTCTGGGTGGCACTAGTGTTTCACTCCTCTCTTAAGAGCACCAAACATGAGCTGATAGGAACAATTTTGGCATAGAGGTAAGGCTGAGAAGCTGCTTGAGTCGGTGCAAGCCTGTGATGCCAGCAATTACGGTGGTTTGTGAGAAACAGGCTTTGTATTTTCTGCCAGACCACAGACCCAAAGCAGTTCAATTTTGGGTTCAAATGACCCAGCTATTTACTCCGTACCCATCCCCTTCTGTTAATATCCTGAGCTCCAAGAAATGGTGACTGTGGACTTTTTCCCAGAACACAGCTGGTTTCCAAGATAAGAGCCAGGGATTTTCCCTTCCGAGCAGCAGTTTCCCTCTCTAATTGACCCAGCAACACACCACTCCCTCCCTGTGCCATTGAGTTACCAGCCACGATAGATTAGCAAGCCTTTCAGGTCAGCTAATGAATTTAAAGATAGCTGCTTTCAAAGCATAAGGCCTTAAATTCCGGATTCCCCAGCTGGTCTGTGCATGTGCTACCTCATTGCTGGAGGATGCTTGCATCCTTTTTCAAAAGGAAAAGCCTTGTTGAGATTTCCTGATGTCTGAGTGCTTCATAATCTGCACTGAAAAACTGAGTCTGGGGGGCTGGGGATTTAGCTCAGCGGCAAAAGCGCTTGCCTGGCAAGCGCAAGGTCGTGAGTTCGGTTCCCGGTACCGGAGAAAAACCAAAA